ACACCACTAGCACAACAGATTAACCCATACTCTCATAAACTACACCACTCACAGAAGATTAACCCATACTCTCATAAACCACACCACTAGCAGAACAGATTAGAGTAGCCTCTCAGTTTGCAGTCATCGACCCTTTAAACTGTAAAATAAATTATATGGATATTAGGCTTTTTAGTGAAATGTGTACAGTGATTGACAGAATACACTAGGTCTACCTGTACTTGTTTTTGAGTTACTGATGTTTGGATTAGACTTGTTCAATTTGGCTGGTCACTTAAACAGTCTAATAACTATAATAAGTCAATAATAATGTTGTTCTATCGGCTGCTCCCCTTAGGGGTTACCACAGTGGATCATTGGTCTGCATGTTTGATTTGGGACAGGTTTTATGCTGGACGCCCTCCTTGGTGTAACCCTTCCATTTTATCCGGGCTTGGGACTGGCACTGAGCGTACACTCCCAGTGGCTGGGTTGGTTCCCTACCCGGGAATCGAACTCGGGCCGTGGCAGTGAGAGCGCAGGATCCTTAGCTGCTAGACCACCAGGGATAATAAGAGTCCAGATTTAGTCCCCCTTTATGGTTATAATAACCTCTGGGAAGGCTTTCCACTAGATTTTGGAGCGTGGCTGTGGGGATTTGTGCTCATTCAGGAACAAGAGCAGTAGTGAGGTCAGGCACTGGTGTTGTTTGAGGAGGCCTGGTGTGCAGTCAGTGTTCCAGTTCATCCCAAAAGGTGTTCAGTGGGGTTGAGGTCAGGACTCTACTCGAGTTTTTCCACCCCAACCTTGGCAAGCCATGTCTTCCTAGACCTTGCTTTGTGCACAGAGACATTGTAATGCTGGAACAGGTTTAGGCTGGACCCCTTAGTTCCAGTGAAGGGAAATTGTAATGCTACAGCACACAAAGACATCCTGTACAATTGTTTGCTTCCAACTTTGTGGCAACGGTTTGGGGAAGAACCACATATGGGTGTGATGGTCAGGTGTCCACAAACTTTTGGCCATATAGTGCATATCAGTGGGAGCTCAGTGGTTAAGATGTTGGACTACTGCTCAGAAGGTTGTGAGTTCAAATCCCAGCACTGTTACTGCTGGGCCCTTGAGCAAGGCCCTTAACCCTCAACTACTCAGCTGTATAAAAATGAGATAAATGGAAGTTGCTCTGGATAATGGTGTCTGCCAAATGCCATGAACAGTAATGGTGGGTTGCCATTTGGATGCAACAATTTCCATCACTGTTACATTTTTAAAAAATTAATTGCACATTGTAAAATATTTCTTTGGTCATGAGTTGAGATTGGCAGCCTTACAGCGCATAATATGATGTGCTCAGCTGTGGCCAGTTTAGTGCCACTGTGACCAAAGACGGCAGATGCCAGTGTTCTGGCAGTGTCGAAAATCTTTTGATTAAAATCTCAGAGTGTGACCGCTACAGTGACCCTCGGATTACATGAAACTCCGCTACAAATTCAGCAGTGGCAATGTTGAAGCCTAAGCAAAATACGCTAATGGACAGAAAAATATCCTTATTACCTCAAACTCAGTTTGAAGAATGTTGCTGTTTATGTGAGCCTGTTTTCTGCACAAACTTGACAGATAGTAATGTTCTTTAATCACAGGTCTGTTGTTAGAGAATCTCCATTGTGTAATCTGACATGCGGAACCTGTCACATGGAATTCTACCAAGAATATATTCAGATCTTGAACATAATGTCTCTGAAACATGCCCACTTTAAATGTGTTTCTCAGCAGTGAGAGGCAGTGAGATGGCGGTGTGTGCTCTGTCCATGTTGGATGGCCTGGGCGATGAGGCCACAGCGCTGGGAGGTGTGCTCATTCTGCTCCTGGCGCTGGTCCTGGCCTGGCTCTCCACCCACGTGGCTGATCGCGGCGATCACATCCTGGGTACCATCCTCACCGTGGGTGCCCACGCCTCACTCATTGGCCTAGGAGGCCATGACGGCTACGCGGTTGCTCCGTCCAGCTCGGAGTCAGGTGAGCAACAGAGCGATGAGACAACAGACGAGGACAAACAGGAGGATGACGAGGAGGAGGGAGAAGGAGGAGAGGAGCTGCTGGATATCCAAGGAGGCAGGAAGAAAATGTGCCGAGAGCGTGAGGGAGAGAATGAGGGCACCGAGGATGATGAGGATGAGGGCGCGAGCATCACGGTGCGACTGAAGTTTCTGAATGATACAGAGGAGCTGGCTGTGCTGAAGCCTCAGGATACAGTTGGAGAGCTGAAAAGGTGAGAAGAAACGCATCACTGACACTGGTTTATTTATCACCAATAGTTGGATTTCTGTCAAAGTTGAAATGTTTGCATAAGAACATGCATGGAGGTGAAGAAGTTGGCTGTGATTGGCCAGTCACTGATTACATTTAGCAGAAATCTGATCCACAATCATCTTTAATGTGCATCTGACTCACGTAGTTCCAGTTGACATGGTACTAGAGCAGGGCATTCTCAAACTTTTCTGAGGGACTCCTTTAACTGTGAGATAAATTCTAAGGACCCCTCAGCAAGATTTTATACGTTCAGATATTAGGCCTTTATTTAATTGTGCACAATAATATTTTGGATAATTATTGGAGTTTCATTCCTGAATGCTCCACCAATAGAACATATTCGGTACAAAGCAGACATTATTTATAAGCCTGTTTGTTTTTGAGTCAACACAACACAAACCCGTTTAATTCAAGTGACCAATGATACCATTGGCTAATAACTATAAAAACTCAGTAAATGTTGTAATAATGGTGGGTTGAGATTTCCACTACTGTAATGAAATTAAAAAAATAAAAATAAAAAATCACAGTGCCCCCTGGAGAAATAGTAATTGGATTGTACTGTACTGTACTGTATGGCATACTCTGAGTAGAACTGTGTGTATGCAATTGTAGTGTAACCTATGTGTTCTGGTGATCTTTTCTGTAGCATCCTGTGTACAGTACTTTTACTTTTGGGAATTTTTGGGTGGAAACTTCAGGTCAGTTCAGTCCTATGCACGTGTCCAGAGCTTGTATGTATTACTTCAAGACATCAAATCAATCTCTGTCCTCAGTAAGTACTTCTCTGGGCGTGAGCGTCAGATCAAGCTGATCTATCAGGGGCAGCTGCTTCAGGACCCACGACGCACAATGCTCTCCCTCAACATCACCCACAACAGCGTGCTGCACTGCCACATCTGCCAGGCTCAGACTCCAGCCCTGCCCCAGGCTGAGCCAGACGACGAGCAGCGCGCTCAAGCCGGGGCGGGAATCAGCGGGGGCCTGCGCTCGGCTGCTCTCACGTTCAGCACAGGCAGCCTGGTGGTCCCGGTGTTTGTAGTGCTGTTAGCTGTGGTCTGGTATTTCCGTTTCAACTACCGACAGCTGTTCACGGCGCCGGCCACCGTCTCTCTGGTGGGAGTCACCGTCTTCTTCAGCTTCCTCATCTTCGGCATGCACAGCCGCTGAGGATACAGACAGAAGAAAGAAAGACGAAAGGAGGCGGGGTGTTGGGAGAGAGGTGAAAAGAAATCGGGGTAAAAGATGGCATATTCACTCTGTCTGTTGAAATGCATTTAATGGAAGGAATATGAAGTGAAACAGCAGCAGCTGAGTGACGAAGAGTAGGACCGGTAGCAGACAAAGTACTCAGGGAGCCTTATGGCTTCTGGTGCCATTTAGATGCCTGGTGTGTCTGTGTGTGAGAGAGAGAGAAGGAAAGTGTGAGTGAGTGAGTGAGTGAGTGTGTGTGTTTAAGGATTTACTTGTTGGTGAGTAGAGAGTAATGATGCTGTAATTATGCTTTAGATTCATGTAATCTTTATAGTAATTTAATCTCAACATGAGGCCTAATTTGTCCTCAATTATTGTTTCAGTTCTTGCTGGCCTTTTCATGGATTAACCTCTATGCCAGTTTTATTGTCAGTATGTCTGAAAGCAAAAGCTCCAATCTAATCTCTATCTGTCATATCTGTAGCATACAAGAAATTCCACCTGTTTCTCTGCCCTGAGAAAAGAAATATGCAACCATATAATCTGAAATCAAATAAGAAGCCTTACTAAAGCTGTTTTATCATTGTTTTTACTGCAATTCAAGACAGTATTCCACAAAAATGTTACATATAAATTGACATGTTTATTGATAGAATTTAACAACTGCCCTTTATAACAGATTCAAGTAAATACAAGATGTGATAGATGGACATTAGGTTGGAAAGTGCTGGAGTATTCTGTTAATGACTGATTTGTTTCTTTACATGCATCACTTCAGCTGTACAGTCAACTGACCACACAATGCACAAACCAGTAAAACCGAGGGTCGTATTTGTAACCAAAACTTCAACAAATAATCTTAATTTCATAATAACGGAGCTCAGTTTTGTGTTATGTTAATTTAGCATATTTATTTTTGGATTAAATTTTGTATAATTAATGAGTGTGCATAGCATACCAGCTAATGGTCCTTTGTTTCAGCTCACATTTCATTTTTGTTCTACAGTATTACCTTTGAGGGGAAAAAACATTATCTTAGTTTCTGTACTTGGAAATATTTGTTCTTTAGCAATACACATTGTGCTCTGTGCGCATGAGAATCAAGTTATTATTAAAAAAAATACAGGGATAACAAATGATAACTAAGTTCTGTAAATAAATAGTGTATTCTGTATATAATATAAAAAAGGTGAAAATTAAACCTCAGAAAACGTTTGCTATTGATGGTTGTCATCACTTTGCTGTACAACAGTAGCATCTTTGCCAATTTCTGTGCATAGACATGGCGAGACATGGCATCTGGAGGTTTCTAATTTGCATATCATGAATATTCATAACTTCTGGGATTTTCAGGGTGCATAACATCTTTTTAATAGTTTAAACAGTTTAAACTGACATGTTCAGAGTTACATGAAAGAAATCCCTTTTATTTTGCCTCCGAGCACTAATGGTTGTTGGTGCTATTTGTCCAGAAAGAGACTGGGTCTCGAAATATGACATGAAAGACACATTCCAGGTGAGACACACCAGTCTTTATTCACAATACCACAGGATGTTCTGCAAGGAGTGAGAGAACCAACGCCAGCATTGAAAAATTATGACATATCCATACACACAGCACAACTTCCTATGTACAGTAAGTAACAGTGGAATCTTTTATCCCTCCACCACAGAAACATTTTATACACGCTTTAAATCTGAATCCACAAATTACAAAAATAAAAGATGAAAAAAAATCCACTTTAAAAAGCTATAAGGCTTTTGTATTTACTCCAAACGAAGTGTATCTTACATTACTCAAGAATAAATGCTATTTTTTTTAGCAGTTCAGTGTAAAATAAAACAGGATGTAATAAGTGCTCTCAAGACCCAAAAAGACAACGTGCACAGACAAGGACCACTACCACACTCAATTATACACTGTAAATAAATAGTGCAATGTATACTGAAAAATATCTACCAGGAGGCGGCGGAAAATAAGTGTGTTGATTGAAAGAGCATAATTTGGCCTGAAGCTACAACAGTGATTATCAAAGGAGCATTATTCAGCAGGAAGCAGTAGGAC